ATGCTAGCAGGGAGGTGCAGCGAATTCAAAGATGAATAAAATATAGCTGCTGTTTTTTTTTTTAAAGCATCTTACATTCTAGCAGAGGAGATAGAAACAAACATTTAGGAAAAAGTGTGGTTAGGGCTATAATTGGGGAGTGTACGAAAAGTTAGAGAAGCACAGAAAGGTAGCAGTCCCGAAAGGCTTTTCAGAGAAGGCATAACCTGAGTGGAGGTCTAGAAAGATGAATAGGAATTTTATTTTTGGACAAGGTCAGGTGGGGAGGAAAGGGAAGCTTTCCAAGTTAAGGAAGCAGCAAGTGCAAAGTTGTGAAGGTATGAAAGAGGCATAAATGAGCAAGTCTTGTTAGCCCAGAGTGGCCAGGGTACAGTTTATGTATTAGGAATGAAATGGATTTTCAGGCCACATTATAAATGGTCACTTGTCAAACTAGGACATTTGGGCTTAATTTTGTAGGCAACAGAAAACTATCCAAGGTTATTAAGCATGATTGGGTAAGTTTATTTGAGAGCTGGCTGGGGGTGGGGGCTGGGGAAGTATGCAGAGTGAACGAGATGGACAATGGAGCTCACATTCCAGTGAAGGAATACGGTTTCTAAGGTGTTGAGCTAGAAAAGGTGAGTTGGACAGTACGGAAGGGCACCTTAATAGGTGATAAGAGGACACCTATTTGATGTCCTCTTACCACTGTAGAGATGGAATGAACAGTGTTTGGTTTTTAGATTGGGAAGCTGAAAGAGTAGTCATTTCTAATAATGATTGAGAATCACAAAGGTGAATCAGATTTGCAGGGGAGAGAGATGGAAAGAGGGAGAGAAGAGAAGGATTGGGTTTGGGTTATGTTGTCTTTGAGGTGCCCATGTGTGGGACCTCTGGATGGAGAAGTCCCTGGTAGTTGGAAATAAGTTGGGAGTTCAGAAGTGAATTTAAAGCTCCCACAATAGATTTTTTTTTTTAATTCCAAGACTCCTATGACTACACAGACAAGAGGAGATTAAGTCAGAGGATAGAAACTTGGAATCCACTAACTTGGTGTTGTTTTATAAGCTCTTTATTTTTCATAGGGTTTGTATCACTCATTTGTTTTTTAAATTTTTATTTTTTTATGAATAGGTAAATCATGTACATGGTTTGGAACTCGAAGGGTACTAAAGAGTGTACTGTGAACAGTGACTTCCTTTCTCTCTCCATTGCATCCTTCCTGAAATATGGTACACACACAAAATTCTCAGTAAAATTTCCTTTAATCCTCATGTATTGCAAAGTCTTAAGTCCCTTCTCAGCCACATAGTTCGAATCTATGGGGAACAGTACTGGGAGGGCTGTTTCCTGCCCAAGCACTTTCACAGGCTTGTCTTTGTAATGAAATCCCGTTTCCTCAATTGAAAACCAACAAGAGGGCAGATTCTCCAATTTGTGAAGTTCAACTTGGCTACTGTGTTCCGTGTTTGTATTCTGCTTCTAAATAACTGCCTTCTGTTGCTGAACTGTTGTAGTGGAGGCATCGCTAATAAGATAAAGGTGAGCCCTGAAGACTCAGGTAGAAATGAAAGTGAAAGCAGCAAAAAAGACATTATCCGAAAAAAGAATTTTATTTCCCTTTTCAGTCTGGGTAGAATGTATTTTGCTATAATGGCTTTCAATACATACACATTGGGTTTTAAGCATGTCTTTGCCTTGTTTTTATATTTTATATTTTAAAGATTCTGGGTTCTCTAAACCTGGCCAGATAGTGGGAGTTGCATTTAAAAAAATGGTGATGGCAGATTGGGTTGGTTCCCAGGGGAAAGTTTTCTGGCCTGGAGGACGGTAGAGAAAGTCCTGACGAATCAGTGACTCTTGGCATTCCTGGTGGGAGCAGTTGCCTTCCATGTATTTATGCCTGGATTGAAAGGTCACTGCTCTGCTAGAAACTGGGAGAGACTATTGCTCTTTCTCCCTGTGAGCAGTGATTCTGCACCATAGTGTTGCCTGGCTGCATGCTTTGATCAGCTGCGATCGCAAGCAATGTTGCCACTAATCAACTATCAAATTTAGTGAATGATTTCCTTTAAAAAAATCAATCAGGTCAAATTCAAGGTTATTCCAATCACACCATCCCTCTCACTCACTGGAATGAGAGGGAAAGATGCAGATTTCCAAGTTACATGAGCACGTGAGCATCACCTGGCACAGGTATAGTGACGGGACAAAAATTTGAAAAGTCCTATAATCTCCCTGATCTCCTTTGTCTCTCTGGGAAGTCCATCATGAGCTCTGTCCTATGGTGCCCCCTGGCCACCTCATCTTCTTTTAGAACAGGGCTTCTTAACCTTGGCACTTTTGACATTTGGGGCCAGATAATTCTGTGCATTGTAGAATGCTTAGCAGCATCCCTGGCCTCTACCTAGATGTCAGGAGTACCCTTCTACTCCCACTAGTTTTGACCAAGATGCGTCCTGGGGGACAACATTACCTCTGGTTGAGAACCACTTTGCTGGAAAAAGAAATCTGACAGGCCATGTTAACGTTGCTGCTCTGTCTGCCAATTTATTGTGTTCCTTCCTCTTAGAAACAATCTGTAGACTTTGTTTCCTTTCTAAAACACAAATCTGAAGATAGCATTCCCTTGTTTAACTTTTTTTTGGTTCCCTGTTACATATACGAAAAAAGTCTGATCTCATCAAACCACATCTTCTTTCCACCCCCTCTAAAACCCTCTGCTCCAGCCACTCTGGACTTCTCACCATCCCCATGAGCCTGCTGGGTCGTGCCTCCATCCCTGGGTCGTGCCCCCAGGTTGTTCATTCTGCCTGGAATGTCTCTGGTGACACCCTTTTAATTCTTTAGGATTAAGCTCAGTTGCAGCCTTCA